CCCACCCGTTCACACCTTACACACACACACAGACACACACATTTATGCACACTCACACACACACATGCACACTCACACAGACACTAACACACATGCACATACACACACACACACACACAAACACACACACACACAAGGGCCACTCCATTCGCTTCAACAAATCTTGAGAACGGAAACCGTTCGGAGAAATAGAGTTCAAGTTTATTTTCCCGAACGTTCGGAGAAATAGAGCCGGCTTTACTTTTATGTATTATATTTCTATTCTTTTCTTGTTATAATGCTGTTTGTAGAGTAGTTTTACTAACAATAACAAAAGGTTGAAGATGCACGTCAGACTTTCACTTTCATGAATCTTAATTTTTGCTCTTCACTTCAATGGCAATGGTCTTCCTCTTCATCATACTTCATGTTTACACGACGAGTACAGGTTTATTAATAGAAGCAAAGAGAGATATATCACAAGATATATATATATATATAAATAAAGGTTCAAGAATTTATGAAGTTATGATTCTATGTCGTATTATAAATTATAAAAACTATTATAATGTTAATAATCTTATTGATATTGACATTGTAAGTGACAATGAATAATTTGTCACTTGTGCGATGGTGTAGGGTACACTAATCCTTTCCACGGAGAGATAGTGAAGGGTACACTATTCCTTTTCACGGAGATCGTTGTTTCGATGACTGAAACTGAAAAGAACAGATATAATTGATTGCCTGGAATCTAGTTTTGACAATCCAGATCAGCTTATTTTTGTTTTGGAATTTGTCTTGAGAATCATTTGAATTTGTATCTATAGAGACCAAATGGTACTTTGAAATCTAATTTTAGAATCTACATCTGTTACAAGTTTGAAGTTCAATCCCTTTTAAGCCACGGGCTACAGAGAGAAATGCTTCTCTGTGTATAAATTCTTTACAGTGATTACTCTGTATATATTTCGATTGAATTCTGTTAATCAGTATCTCCATCCATTAATTAATCACACTCTCATCATAGAATCTCTGCAAATATTTAGATCAGAATATTTAAACAATTCTGGATAGTGAAAGGACAATTTAAGGTTCCCGCCATGTCATTTAGTAAATAAGTGCCCTGAGGACAAGGTGTTGATAGTTTAGCAACCAAAGTAGAATTTACTTTACTTTGCCTTTTGAAAAGAATCCAACCTGCTGCTGCTGTGGATATTGGTTCTCTTTTAGTGACTCGTTGGAACAGATACACATCAACAATGAGCGCAGGGGGTAAGGTTTTTGTTTTGTAATCTTGTGTATTCAAATTAGTCTTGCTGCTTCCTTTCTGCACTGCCACAGTTCAATACCCATTCATGATTCCCCTTAAACTTGATGAAACCAATCAAATCTTAGTATTCTTAGATTGTTTGTTTTGTGTTCAGGCTATGGAGAAAGTTACTCTAAATTTGGGACGTGTGAGTTCAGTATTTTGAACTCAAGTCAGATACTGAGGACTGCCATCTAAATTGTATTTTGCTCCTCTAAATTTTACCACCCCCACCCCTGTTTTCTTTCATTCCGAACTCTTTGGAAAAAATTTTATGTACAGTCGAACCTGCCTGAACGGAAACCTGTATAAAACGGAATCCTGTCTTAACGGAATCTCCCCGCTTCCCCCTTGAAATATATTATATATATCCCTTTTTAATTACCTTATGAAACGGGGGATCCCATCCAACGCGGAAACGGAGAGAAAAATCCGCTATCTTCTGAGGGTTTTACCTGTCTGAGACGGAAAATGTTTTGCCCGTTCAGTCCTGGTTTGAAACAAAACTTGCAAGTTTGGTTCCGTCCACCGGCTCAAAACTTAACGCTATGCTGCCGGGCGAGGAAGAGGAGTAGGTGAGCAATTTGAGGGTAGATCCTATGTTACCCCATCTATGAGAGCCCTGAGAGACGAAGATGGTCAGTGTGGTGTGGGTGGGAAACCTCATGAGATGCCAGTGAAATTGCTTGAGTGGCGCTCCAGCACGGAAACTTTCACTGGTAGCCAGAGATGTGAAATTAGTTTGACCAATGCCTGCTGCCTTGATCGTACAGCCAGGTGAGAAAAGAGTTCCTTAAATCATTGTTACAAATGGCAGTGAAGGGTGGCATTGGTTGACTGTACTTATTACATCGATGGTTGAGGCTAAGGGAGGAAGCAAAGGAGATGTTCAAACAATGTTTCTCTGTTTTTAATATATGCCAAACAGTGGTCCTATAAAATGCAAGCACTGGTGGTAATTGGATAAATAAGACTGACGCCTGTCATTATCAGAGAGGATAGCATCTCAGAGGTGTGACGTTTTGACCACTTGTGATTGCTTGCAGACCGGACAAGCGACCCTTTGATCCCACCGACTGGGCCTTTGAACCCACCCCCTTTTCCATCTCCCACGAAATTCCCCTGTCTAAGACGGAATTTTTTTCTGGCTTCCTTGCAGTTCCGTCTTAAACTGGTTCGACTGTATTATAATGTATGTACACACACGTGTTGTAAAAGTATAAAATATATCATGTATGAAGGTTCACAAAAAAAAGCATACAGACGTTCAGGCAGAAGACAAACAGACAAAAGTAAGGGGAGCAAATGATTGATTAAAGAGCAATAATACAGTCAGTCAAACCAGTGTGTAAGACGGCCACGCATTGTCGAGGAGAAAAGTGGAAGTATAAAAAAGGTGGCCATCATACGCAGGACTGATCAAAATGAAGAAGAAATCATTTACTTCTGAGGTCTGAACTGGAGGTGGTTACAGGCTGAGGACTGCTGCCGGGCTCATTAAAATGTTTTGTTGAGGTTTCTTTTGAAAGGCAGGAGAGGATATGGGATGGTTTTTGTGGGTAGTTTTATTATTTCTTAAAATTATGGTTCCGTTAAAGGTCAAAAATAAAACACAATGTGTCAGAGGAAGAAGATCAAGTGCCATAGCAAAACAAACAAATGGGTTGCCACCCCTCAGTGAACGAGCAACACTACTACTATCGTGAGTTTGTGTTGCCTTCCATTGTTATGGACTGGGTTGACGGACTGAGTTGTGGGTGGGGCTTATAAGTTTTATGACGGAACATATATGCTTCCCTTACCGGCAGCTAAAATTTATTAGTCAACTTGGGTAAACATTGGATCGACCTGAGCAACATGACAGATTCATCCTTTGAAGAGATAGACAACGACTGGTGAATGAATTATGACGGCTTGTCCGCGGCATCAGGGAAAAATGCATAATTTTTTATAAAGCCTGGTCGTCTAAGGCAGGAAAATTTGGCCGTGGTTTGATAAAATAGGGTGGCCGCGGACACGTTGGACAGATGCCCTTGTTACACAGTTAAATTATATAGAAATAAACACAAGTGGATAGAAAGTGGCCGTTTGTACAGGTGGCCATATGGCAGGTTCGACTGTATATATATATAATATATATATTGAAGGGAGGATTCATAATCATAAGAGATTACAGAATAATCATGGTAGGGAAGAAAATGAAAAGGAGAGTGTGTGAAAACGAAACTCCCGACATGCATGCTTAAATTACAAAGCATTCTTTTTTGCCATCACATATTCTCTGTGTATAATAAATGTGTGTATGTGTATTCGTATCATGTGTGTGACTTTCTTTTGTATGTGAATGGGAAGTCAAGTACAGACATAGAGAGATCTGCTTTAGCTTATAAATCAACATAATGCATACTTATGTCAAATATTTGATATTTGCCACATTTTGAAAATTAGACTTTTTAAAATAACTAATCTTAATCTTTTTAGCTTTGCTAAATCTGAACTGAGAATTGAGCAACCCATAATATAATTATTAATAATAATACAACAATGCAGAAGCAGAGAAAAGGGAATATTAATAATGGACAACAAAAGTATATTAAAATTATCAAGATGATTTGAATAATGCAGAAATTAAAAAATACAATACATGTACAGCAACAAATAAAAACAAGAAAAACTAGAAAATATTTGTTTTGACTTTAAAAGGTCCCCACTGGGTAAAAAAAGAAAGTACCTACCCAAGAAATTTCCTTAGTACTCAAAGGCTTTGCACTTGAACAAGTACATATATATGATTATTTTAAAAGTACTGGAGAACTCGCTGAGGCTAAACACTTTCTAATTAATTTCAAGTTACTGACAACAGGCAGTAGCATTATTTTTAACCCATTGAAAGGAACTGATTTTGAAAGATCCACTAGTCTGTAGTCCTGAGTTATAATAATAATAATAGGATTATAATTTTATAATGTGCATTATATCATATTATGTTTTGTCCCACACACCCCACATCCTTCACCACTTGGGCTATTGCTGGCATTGCTTGGCTAAACTGTGGTGCTGGTCAGAATTATATAGTCTATCCCTTTTATCATCTTCTCCAAATGTAATCTGGCATTCGGGGTGCTGAGCATGTTCTTTTTCACCTTCTTTGTTATCACTTAATTAAGGGGTAATATCGTATAACTTGCTCTTAGCTGAGATTAATTACCTTTTATATATATATGAGAGCCTTAGGACTAGGACACTTAACCTTTTCACTGTGTATTTGCTTTTGAAAAGGTTCTTCGTAGTACCATCATTTTTGACTAATGCCACTCAAGAAGCCTGTTTTTTTCCTCATGTAAATGATAATGATTGGTTTGAAGTGTCAGTTGTCAGTAAAGTGTTTGGTATAATATAAATTATATGGACTTGTCAATTATCAGTGTGTAAGAAATGGGTCTAATGAGGCAGTGCAAGAGGTCAAAGTTTTTCGACCCGCATGAAATACCCGAGAGTATCGAAGTGCTGGAACAAAGTTTTTCCCCCCAGTATTGATGTTAAAATCTTCAAGCTATCTTGATTACTTTGTTAGAATGTTGGGACCTACATGATTTTTAATACTACTTTCATGGAGACAGTAGGCAGAGGTGTGTGAAATGTGAATAGTGTCATTGGGTGCATGACCTTCCATTCTTGGGCTTCTTCATTTCTATGTGCTGTGTTGTATGTGCCTTAAAATCTTTACTAAAATAAAATAAACTGAGAGTTTCTTATGCCTATGCAGCTTATCTTTCAGAGTTAAGGGTGGTGATGAGTCACCTGGGTGTTCTAATGTAGTGCCCTTTTGCTTGTCTCTATGATGACTGTTTTACAAAAAGAAAGTATTGAAATATTAACTGCATCAATTCGGGGGGTTGGGGGGGGGGTAACGTTTACTGAATTTGTGACGTAAGCAAAACCAACCTTTGGAGGGAGAAATGTATTGCACCCGGCAGCGCAATGACTGCCGTGTATATTGCTCCTGAAGTGACATGGGGACACTTTTTTCTTTTAGTTTGTAAGGATGTTATTGGACAAAAAAAATTCTCTTATCTTATATTTATAGTCTTTTTTCTTTTTAATTGTCTGAAAATTGTTACAGGTGTTGTAGTTTTTAATCTCTGGCTGAGGTATCATGCATCCTGAAGCTGTTGGCATATGCTAGGCCCTATGAGGGGTTATTCTGCAAAGAATGCCTGTGGTAAAAATATTCAAATCCTAGTCTGTGAAATCCTTTTTCATGTTGCTTGCTGCAGTACTCTTTATTACGTTTGAAGATGCCATAGTAAAGTTAAAAGATATTTTTTCTTTTATTATGCTCGTGTATTCTTTGATTGTAATCTGGTTCTGAATAAGTATGCTCATTCTCAGATAATCCAGTCTTTGTAAACTGGAGTTACAATATTTCAACCCCTTTCTTAACAATATATATCTATCTCAACATTCAAGTTTTTCTTTGTGTGCTAAATAAATCAACTGTAGCCCTCATCTACCAGGTTTGGACTATTTGTGAATAAGTATGGCCATGCCAAAAGATAATGCAAGACATTATAGCTGTATCTTGTCATTCATTTGATATGTTTAAGGATTAAACCACATTCTGACAAAATATCTGTCAGCTGTGTTTAAGAAGCAAAGAGAATAATGCATGATAATAAAACGTTTGTGTGTAAACACGAGTTGAAAGTCTTTTACATCAACTAATGAATGTGAGCCAGAAGTTAAAGCCAGAACTTGAAATAGACCTTTCCTTTTTACGTTGGTGTGATACACTTTCAGTAAAGTTTTTCTTTTGTGTCAAGTAATGTAGGGGTAAAGATTAAATATACTGCAGGAAATGCCCATTTTTTTTTTTGGTTCTGTTTTTCAAAGATGACATGATCTGAGACCAGAAGGAGAAGTATTTACTGTATTTTGTGTTGCTTGGCGTATTTAAGAATTCATTTAAGTATTTACGATGATTAATGATAGTTCTGTACGAAAGAGACTGAGGGGCACTTTAATTTTTAAAAGTCACTCTGGCTTTCTTTTACCTCGCTTTATTGGGGGGTCCTTTTTTTTTTTGAGGAATGAATTGTGGGGAAGAATAAGTGAATCTGGCATCTTGAAGAAAAAGGGGATTAATCTATATTTATGAGTCCTTTTCCAGATTACTCTTGTGTTTAAATCAATGTACCTTTTGTGTCGTTTTGATGTCAAAGGAGAGGTGACTAGGAATACTCAAGTCGTATTTTAAAAGTGGAATGTTAGTTGTTGTCTCTATTTTCAACAATACTACGCGATTTTGCAGTAAGAAAATATCGACTACTTAGTGTGAAGTTCCACAATATGACACTTTGAAAAGTGACGTATGACGGTCTTACACTGAGCCTATTAAATCATATTGTTTAAAGAGATTTTTTTTTTTACTTTCAGATAAAATGAGTGTACACCCTACCCCAGGAGCCCCACCACCCCCTTACCCAGGGGACAGCGCCTACCCCCCAGCTCCACCGGCTGGCTACTATGGCGGCCCACCACCCCAAGCCTACGGTGGGCCAGCACAGCCGGGGTACGGCCCCCCACCGCCCCCAGCTGGGTACGGGCCACCACCACCCCAAGGCTACGGACCACCCCCACCCCAGGGGTACGGGCCTCCCCCACCTCAAGGATACGGCTATGGGTACGGTCAGGGTCAGGCAGCCCCGTACCCTCAGCAACCGTACCCTCAGCAACCTTATCAGGGAGGACCGTACCAGCAGCAACCGGCACAACAAGTGTAATTACATGTTTCAAAATTTTTGTTTCCTGTTTGCAGTTGTGTCATTTTGGGGTTTTTTTTCGTGCGAGTGTTTGTGTTTAACGTTACTTTTTCTGTTTATTTGTTTGTTTTTGTTTTGTTTTGTTTTGTTTTGTTTTGTTTTTTAGTGGGGGGGGGGGGGTTGCTCACAATTTTTTTGTACAAAGATTTAGGGAATGAGTGTTGTTCATGTGAAAAAATTGCTTTTTTTACTCAGGAGATTCTCATTTGATATGGGAGAGGTGTTAGTCTTGGTTAACGTTTCATTGTTTACAGATGTTGAATATTAAGTACTATTGAGTACTATGTAGTAATAATAATAATAGATTACTACCTCAGCAGAACAGCACAGTCTTTGTGTTCATTTTGCAAAATTTCATAAATGATTTTTGTGGAATAATTTAAAGGCCATTCATTACAAAGTTCTAGAGATTCAGATGCTTGTTATAAAAAAAAGATTACTTATATAGAAAATCCAATTATAATCAACATCTCTACTTTGTTGGAAATGAGTTTATTATCAATTTATCTGAATGATGTGTAACAATACTCTGAGTTGGTTCTCAAATTTGAAACATTTAGAAATGTTGGTAAGGAGTCATTCTTTAAACGCCGAAAGTAAATTTTAAAAATATCTGTTTGCTTTTCTATGTATTGATTGCAATTAAAAGTAAAAGTGCTAATCAGGCTAACATTATCTGAGAGTAACAGAATCATGCTCTGAAGCACATAGTATAAAATAGTATTGCTCCCAGTGCATGTTGATTCTCAATATAGCTGTTATGAAGTCAACATTTCTTTGTCCAAAAAAAATCAATCAGATCATGTTTATTTACCTTTGCATTACTGTATTCATTTGTTTAATCGTTTTTCTCGTCTTTCAGAGTGTATGTGAATTACAATGTAACGTCAAATTGTTCTGAAAAAATCGGAAGTTACATTTATTTTTGTGCTACTTATTTCATTTATCTAATCGCTTTTCCTGGTCTTTCAGAGTGTATGTGGATGACAGGCGTAAGAACAATGACCGGGACAATTCGGCAGAAACCTGTTGCATCATCGGCCTGTGCAGTGCCCTGCTCTGTTGCTGTCTTATGGACTGATCTATCTAAGATGAGGCCTGATCTGACCGACATTCCACAGTGCACTTTAAAAATATATACATCTAAATTATACTTTCTTTTTCTTTTTAGTGTCTATACTATTCTGACAAAATTATTTTTCTTTATGCGTATATAATATATATATATATATAATATATATATTTCTAACATATCTTTTCTCTTAGAATCAAAGTAGTATTTGATAAACTTACCTTTTCTTGTATAATGTTGACAGTTATGAAGAGCATTTTATTTTTGTCTTGTTTGTTAACTTAGCTATGCTTTGAAATCGCCATCCTTATTTGATTATTCACAAGTCTGTATGAAGCAATAGCAAACTTGCGTCTGATCACATAAAAGATGATTTCACCACAGCATTTAAGAATGAATTTACAAAGGTATGTCAAAATAGTGCATGTTGATTTAAAATAATGGCAAAAATCTTTGATTTGGGAACTGATTAATCACAGGTGTGCTAGAATGGCAGTCTCCAGCATTGAAATGTATTATCTGATTTTTGTCATCTTTGTCAACCTATTATTTGTTTCTGTACTTTTACTGAGAAAATTGTATGTCCTCCTTGCATTATGTGTCATTTGAAAATATTTTTAAAATTTGTTCTTGTCAAATGAGGCCTAGACGTAACACAAATTGGGAGCATGGGGATGTCAAATTTCAGTTAGATATTAAATTTACTTACCTTTGAAAAATATTGAATATGATCTTTTCTCTCTTAACGCATACTCTGCAAAATTGGGCGGCAGCTCATCTTGTGACTTTTCTTTCCCTCTGTGTTTTTTTGGTGTGTTTGTTTTACTTTGCACTAAATGGCCTTAATTGTGTCAATGTGCTTGTCTTTACTCAAGGAATATTGGGGTCTTCCCTGAAATGTTTCCCCAGCTGCTAATTTCCTGTTTCTTTTCAGCTCTAGTGACTTGAGCTCTTGTTCCAATTTTGTAAAAGATTTCTTTTTGTGTTCAGGATGTGAACTTAATTCACTGCAAGGATCTAATTACAAGAATAATTTGGGATGTTATCTACTAGAAACATGTAAGATATTCACTTTTTATCTCACTTGTAGTCACAGCACATTGAGCTGCATTTTTCATGAAAGATACAATAAAAGCTGTGGAAATCCAAGATGAAAAAGTAATTGATGGGTTGTTACTATACTGGCAAGTTTTCCGTCACTAATTCTTCATCTTTGTTAGTTTTTATAAGATATCTGTACTGTCACTGCAGAGAAAATGGTTGCGCAGATTTTCTATCATTGTACACTCAGTTTCTCTTGTCACACCTTCACCTTTCTTACTGCAAATGTTAGCTCATTAAATGTTGAGCACAATGCCATAGTTTCTCTTGGCCAAAATATTTATTCCCTTATCCAGTTTAAGGATGGCAGGAATAACTATAAAGCAATTACTTTCCTTTGAAATTTTCTTTAAATTGAAAACTTGTCTGTGACTTGTTTACTTGGACTAAGACTTGACAATATGAAATATCTATTGAAGGTGCTTTACAGACTGTATTGTTTTGTCCTGTTGTTTCTTGGAAAATCTGCTGCAGTTACATGTGTGACAAAATATAACAGACCACCATAATCAATAATTGGATACTTTACAAACAATTGAAGTTTCAGTCCATCTTTTCAATGCTCAAGAGAATAAATAATTGGTCTAGTAGCTTGTTTGTCGCCCTTGCTTATCTTTGTTTATGGTTAACTTGAAGTCTTATCTCAAGTGGAGGAAGAAATGAGAACCTAAACTTTGTTCAAATTCTCGCATAAAAGTCTTAGCTATTTCAGGCACCTTAATTTTACTGGATTATCTTCAATTCATGTCTGTCATTGAGAAATTTATATTGATAATGGTACAGATCCTGTAAACTTTAAATCAGAATCTGACATATTAAAATATTTATACTGGATACCCCTAGATTGGCTGTGGGTATGTACCTGTGTGTATGAGCTCATGTATAAATGTATGCATCAATGGGTTTGTGTTTTTAGGGGAGGAGAGAGGTTCACAGGTAATGTACTGATTAAAAAAGACTGAATTTTGACTGTTGGGAATGTCAGTGAGTTGGTTGCTTTATTGCACCTTTTTGAATGTATTTTCTGAGGATGAAACTGTCATGCATGTTATTTTATTTCAATTTATATTGCTGATTTGGTGCACATATTTATGTATATATTTTATCAGTATATATGTATGTTTTCCGTATGTTTATGCCCATAAATATCGACATGCTTGCAATTGCAAGGGGGGAAGGGCATTGATCTGCAAATACGCAGGCATTTATCAGATGTTTCATTTATGTCACAAAAACAATTTATTGGATTTTTGGTACAGTATCAAGCAGAGGGTATAGTTTTAAGAGTCAGAGCAATTGTAAAAAAACAAAAAAAGACCCCTAACATACAAAAAACAAAATTTTTACTGATCTTTCATTTTCAGTACCAGGGAATAGAATATTTTTCAATGGGTGAAAGAGTTCAGGGCTTGTTTGTTTTTGTTTTTGATCGAAGACCATGTGGACTTTACATTTGAGATTTTTATGCAAGAAAAGGAAAACAATGATTCCACCTGATTCATGTTGATATATGTGTATAGATTTGTTATTGAATCAAAGATCTGGTTAAACTCACCGTCATGCAGATTTTCATTAGATTTTAAAAAAAACTCTTTACTTTCTTTTCAAACTTTTTTCCTTCAAACTATATTTTATGATAGAAATGACTGGAAAAAGTCTATGGTTGTAATGATAACTACGAATAAATATAACATCTAGTTTACTCTTTATGTCTGGAAAGTGTTTTCCCTATTATGCCAGAGCCCTCTTTTAATGCGAAACATGAGAGTGACATGCACATCACTAAACCGCCATTAAATCAAAACAAATGAACCTATTTTGATAGTTGTTCATCACAATAATGTCAGTGACGTAATGAATTAAAAGAATGGGACGGAGCTGCTGACAGTGGATCACCCAAACAGCAGTTCCCTCTGCAAGCCGCTTGGAGTTTCTTGCTGGGGATAAAGAGTTACATCAGTAGTTTAGCCTTTACTATGGGGGTATGCATTACATTTTGCTCAATGTATACTTCTTCTACTGTGATATATATAATTTAACCTCCTGATATGATTTCAAACAGCTAAATCTGTATTGTACTTTGGTGGTAGAATTGTGACTTTGGAAGAGGAGTAGTAAGTGAAGTAAGTACCTGAACTTGTTGCCTTAATCAGATTTATTTTTATCTGTCGTGAAATTACTCTTTTGATTAATATATGTACATATATATCTCTTTTGTATTGCCTCGCCAATTTACTTTGTACCTCTGTACTTCTTTTTATTTGTGAGATCTGATGAAGGTCCCAGACCTCCCTCACTGACACTGTTTTGTATTTTTGCCCTGGAAGAGGCTATCTGATATTGAAATATGCTGTTTACACAAGTCTTAATATTTCTTTCTTTAGTTGTTCTTTCTGTATGCTTTTCATTTACTCTCCTCATTCTTTTTTGTGTTTGTTACTCTCTTATAACACCTCTAATCTTCAGCACTTATATGACCTTATTGTGTTGCAAGTACCGTAAAACTCTTACTAAAACTAAAAAAACCAAAGCTTTTCATTTATAACATTTTTTTCGAAACAATAAACTCCTGGAAATTGTATAATTTTAAGATTTATCATCATAAGCATCATTTCCTGCTTGGAAAAGTTCAAAATTGGCACATTTTGAAAAATGTCTTTTTAATGGAAAGTATGAATAAAAACTACCAGTATTACAAATATCTTAAACAGGACTGCTTGAAATTAATCACACATACCATGTCAATGGCATCATGAAATGGGATAGCTAAAAAGTTTGTTTTTTTAATTGCTGTTAGTTGTTTTGATTGTTTTCTCTGTTCTGTTTGAACTGTACGGGTGCTGGACTGATCTGGTCATGCTTACATAATGACCTGTTTGTGGTCTTTACTCTTTCTTATATTATTGTTAAAATAAAATATTTCCCCTGATTTCATTTTGTAACGACATGTATTATTGAATTATTTCCATATATTCGTAAGGCAATGCTACAGCTTGAAGCATTTGCATATGTTACTTTTTTAAAACAGTAATATATGATCTCTTTTTTTTTTTCAGTTTTGAAGGGAAAGTGCCTTGGCCAGTGTACCAAGGTTCATGTTGTGCTTGGTTAGGGTTGTGGTACGGTACCTATTTATTTTTTTGCTTCACTCTGGTCTAGATGGCTTTTTTTATTCTCTTTTGTTATGCCAGTGTCTGTACACTTATATCGCAATTTTGTAGTAATTAAGCAGAGATGCCTGTACCCCTCTCAGGATTTGTTTTATTTTATCTTGTATGTCCGGCGCTTGTTATCCAAGAGGTAAGGTGCATGCCAACCTACCTTGTGTGTCTGGCTTAATGTCACATCCATGCAAGTATTGTTGATCAATATTTTTGGGGGGGAGTTTCTTTGTAACTTACACCCCTACCCTATGGTAGTGGACTTTGAGCTCCCAGTCTTCTCATATGTGTCGAAAATCTCAACTGTTCATGTCCAAAATACTTTCTGTGTATAAAGGTGGAAAAGAAATGGTAGCTATCCTAAAGTAAAGAAACTCTGCATAGGAGAAATGATTGAGAGAATTTTCGAAAATCGCATTTAGCTGCCTGAAGACACCGGGACACTGAACTATTGTTGGAGAACGGACTGAAAAAGTCAGTGGCATGCTTTCTGGAAAAATGTACGATACACTACTGGAAGCTCTGTGAATTAACAAGGGTAAGCCGAGAAGGTAGACAGATTCTAAAAGAGCAACAGTGAACGAAGAGCTTTCGGGAAAATCTCTCTAAGTACTTGTAATAATATGGTATTGTTTCAGAGTATTATCTAAATCAGCTTTTGCAGAGCTCTTAGAGTGCCGTTTCCAGCTGTGCTAAAAGATTGCTTCAGTGTTTAATTGTATTTGAACTGTATTCCCTTCAAACGCATTCTCCATAGATGCCATATTATTAGAAGTAAATATCCTAACGACATTTTTCTGAAAACTTTTGCTGAAATGGGAAAAAAATGTATTAAAAAATATCCAAACAATATTTTTCTAATAGCTCAGCTGAAATGGAAAAATGTGTAACTTTAGACCTCTTGTGTGATTTACTGGACCTCATGTGTGATTTACTGATCCTGTGTGAGTGTAAAGATGCGAGTGTGCCATGATTTTACGTTGATTGTGGTTTGTCAGTTGCGATACTGGTAATGGTAGATGAGATATTTATGTCTCCAAAGTTTGCAATAAATAAGCTTAAAATAATTGTTTGTGCATGTAGAACAATCTTATAACATTTGTTCCTGCATGTAGAATTGAACAACAGACACGAACATGTTGGCTAAATTGCTAGTAGTATATGTATGGGTTGATGTCAGCCTATGAAAAGTCTGTTTCATGTGCAAGAATAACACCTATTATAGATGACTAATAATAATTTAATAAATTATAGTTGCTATCACTTTTGCTGAATTTACACGTTTCTTTTCCCTGTCTGTATGATGTGATCTTTCTTATTAGCATTTCTTCAAAGGTGGAATGTTATAACTAAATGGTTTTGTTTGTTGTGTTTGTTGAAAAAATATTTGTGAGGCATCGTGGTGAAATCAGGCGCTCGTCAGAATAATAATATCGAAGAAACTTTCACTTTTCCTCTTGTTTGGCAATTTTTATCGAATGTTTGTTTTTTGGCTCCGCACCTTTTATGTCCATTTAAAAAGATATTTATGTGTGGAAATCACTGAAAACATCGATTGGAGGCACAAAAAAATGTAAATTTTCAGTTTCCAAGAACTCTCAAGATATGGAAGTGACTGAACTTTGCTGGCCATTTTCTAGCTACATGTAATTTTATTCTTAAAACCAGGGAACCCATCTCCTTCAAGTGCAAGTATCTTAACTTCTATTTAAGTTAGATAGATAGGTATTTTTTTCACCAAGTGCAAGACAAATGAACAAGCTCTAAGATGTTACCAATAACTCCATAAGCCCAAAAATTGACGAGTGCCTGATTCCACCACGTCACATCACATTTTATAATGCAAATAAAATATGTTTCAGTTGGAAAAACTCAAGAGTCCAAGGCTTTACGTTTATACATATATCCCATTTACATTTTGTGTTATATTGTATCTTTTTAGTTGTTTTGTGCCTGTACATATTCTTGTTCCTGGTAAAGTCTTTTACAACTGAGAAGGATCTGCCAACTCTTTGATATAATAACAATTGCTTCTTCATACAGTTCTTTGCCTTGCACCGTAATGTTCCCACAAACAAATGAGCATGACCGGTGTCTGTGGTGTAGCGATTAGGCGTGTCGCACACAGGAGACTGGAGTTCGATTACCAGGAGGGGAGAAATATTTTTGGGAGTATTTTGGTCTTTCTGCTGCGGTGTTGTATCCTCTCTCACCCTAGGTTTGTCCTGACAGGCAGGGTCAGAAACCCACCTCCCAAGTGACCCAAGTTGTGTTGAAGGGGCGTAAAAAGACCTATTTTAAAGAAAAAAAAGTAATTTAAAGAATGAGTATGAGATTCAGAGAAGTATTTGTATTGATGAATTGATGTAGCAAAGCTCTGTACAAGTACAATGCACAAATGTACTTGCATTGCATCGTGATTTGTTCCTAATACGATTTCTCAATTATTTCAGGTATACTATTTCACCGTTTCAATTTTTCCTTGAATGGTTGGAGGGTGCCACTGGTAGGTCCTACTTCTTCTTTACTTTCCCTCTTTTGCTTCTGTCTGTCTGTCTGTCTGTCTGTCTTACTTTTCCCGAGCACTAAATGACCATGATTGTGTCGATGTGCTACTTCTTTTTTTTCCAAACAAATTCAGTTATTCCACTGGCGTCTGTGTTGCAGTGGTTAGGCGCTTCACCTTCGCACACAGGAGACGCGAGTTCGATTCTCATGTGGGAGAATTTGTTATTGAGTATCTCCGTCTTTTTGCAGGGCTGGCCCTGACAGGCAGGGTCAAACCAGCCCGCTTCCTATTTAATCTAAATGCTGTCGATAGAGGTGTAAAACTTCTACATGTATTCTACAATTACAATTTCAGTTATCCCAAAATCTGTCTTTTTTTATGCTGACCACAATTCTTCAATATCTTATACTGATTTTCTCAAGGTCATCCGGGGGGGGGGGAGTACCCTGTTGTTTCTGTCTTATTTTTTCCCTTTATGGGTGGTTGGCGGGTGCTCTGGTGTGGTTTGCTCCTTCTTTCCTATCTCCCTTCCTTTCTGTGTTTGTTACTCTCTCGTAACACCTCTAATCATCGACACTTATATGACCTAACTGTGCTGCAAGTACTGTAAAACTTTTACTAAAACCATATTCCTTCACTTTCCCTGCTCTAAATGAACGTAATTGTGTCGAAGTCGATGCACTTCGTGGGTGGTTGACCGGTGCCTTGGTATGGTTTGCTCCTTCTTTCCAATGTATCGTCTTTATCGTTCCTCCTTATTTTCTTTGTATTTTACAAGTGACACCTCAAATATTGTGTAC